AAAAAAAAAAAAAATAAGAAAAAAAAAAGAAATTAGAAGAAAAAAAGAAAAAAAAAAAAAAAAAATTAAAAAAGCTGAGACTCTCCGCTCACGGGGGGGATGGCCTCGAGCCGGAAGCGGCGCGAGGCACCGCCGGCGCATGCATCGGCGCCAGGCCCCCGACAGCGACGCCGCCGGCTCCCGGGCGGGGAGTTACCAGCTCGAACGTATCCCTGTCCCTGAGATTGACGCGCCAAAAGGCGATGACAATCTTAGGGAGTCGCCCTCAAAACCTAATGGAACCCCTAAGATTGGCAGCGTGACGAGGAGGTGCCCAGCACAGGGACAGGGATGTGCTCCAGGCTGGTAAGGGAGGGCCGTCGGGCCCCCGACGGCGACCCGGAGGCGACGCGGGGTCGATGCACCCCCGCACAGCTCGGGCCTCCGGCGGCCGCCGGGGGCGCTCTGGGCGCCGCCAGACAGAGCGCCCCCGACGAGGCGCAGCAGGCAGGCAGGCGCCCCGAGGCTGGCAGGCCGCGGAGGAGCCACGGGAACGCTTGAAAACCACGAGCTTCGCCCTCCTCTTCCTCCTGCTCCTGCTCCTACTCCTCCTCCTCCTCCTGCTCCTGCTCCTGCTCCTGCTGCTCCTGCTCCTGCTGCTCCTGCTCCTCCTCCTCCTCCTCCTCCTCCACCGTCCTCTCCTCCTCCTCCTCCTCCTCTCCTCCTCCTCCTCCCTCCTCCTCCTCCTCCTTCTCTCCTCCTCCTCCTCCTCCTCCCCTCCTGCCCTCCGGCCTTCCTCCTCCTCCTCCTCCTCTCCCTCTCCCTCCTCCCGTCCTCCTCCTCCCTCCTCCTTCCGCTCCTCCTCCTCCTCCTCCTCCTCGCCTCCTCCTCCTCCTCCTCCTCCTCCTCCTCCTCCTCCTCCTCCTCCTCCTCCTCCTCCTCCTCGTCCTCCTCTAGAAAAAAAAAAAATAAAGAGAATACAAAAACAAAAAAAAGAAAGAAAAAAAACAAAAAAAAAAGAAAAAAAAAAAAAAAGAAAAAACCCCCCCCGAGAAACCTCCAGCCCCGAGCCCCAAACCGACGCTGAGCATCGCTTGGCCGATCCCTACCCCCACCAGCGTGGCCTGGGCCCCGCGGGCCGACGCACCCCCTCTTGATGGGGATATGGCCCGTTCCCGTCGGGTCTCGAGGGGTGTGTCCCCAACTGGGGTGGATGGATGGTGGGGCTCAGGATAGGGATGGGGAGGGGGAGGGGATGGTGGGGCTCAGGATGGGGATGGGGCTCAGGATGGGGATGGATGGTGGGGCTCAGGATGGGGGTGGATGGATGGTGGGGCTCAGGATGGGGATGGGGAGGGGGATAGGGATCGATTACAGACGGACCTAGGACAGAAGAACATCCTTCAAGATATGGCCTGTTCCCGTCGGGTCTCGAGGGGTGTGTCCCCAACTGGGGTGGATGGATGGTGGGGCTCAGGATAGAGGAAAGAGAACTATGCACATACACCGATTCTGGCCAGGCCCATCCTGAGCCCAGGATCGGTGCATACGCCCTCCTACCTTGGCCAGGAGGGCATATGCACCGATCCTGGGTCAAGGATGGACCTTGCCAGGATCGGTGCATGTGCATAGTTCTCTTCGCCCGATCAGGATGGGGATGGGGAGGGGGATAGGGATCGATTACAGACGGACCTAGGGCAGAAGAACAGCCTTCAAGAACATGAGGCCCTCCGCCGGCCCAGACTGAAGAACACTCGAGGGTACCGTCCCCCAGGTTGCGCAAGAACGTCCAGCAGACACGAAGAACATCAGCGCACGCTGGAGTGCTTTTTGTTAGTAGCATCCACCCGATCGACCGGAGAGCGAGATGGCGAGCGGGAAGAATAAGACCAAAGATGAAGGGAACAAATATCATAATTAAATTTGAGCCGACCTCGACCTTCTACCTCGGTCCGACCGTGCGGCGGATCCGAAGGCCGGGCACATGGCCGAAAACCTCCCGTCGTGATTCAGTCGGAAGCCGGGCAAGGGCTGCTAAATTGCTAAATCCGTGGCTGCTAAAATCGACCTCCGGGAAGTCGTCTTCGTCCTTCTGGGAAGAAGCCCGCTGACTGTCTCGCGTGCCGCGCCTCGTTCCGCGAAGTTGTTTTTTCCTTCCGGGAGGGCCGTTTTAGCAGCCACGGTTAGGGGGTCACATGCGAACCCCCCCAACGGTGTTAGCAGCCCTCGCCCACTGCTCGAGTGCTTGCTCTGCTGCCCCCGCGGGCCGAGCTCCAGCGCGCGCTGCACGGCGTCGGCGCCGCCCGCCGCCGCGCGCCCGCCCGGCAGCGTCGGCCCGAGCACGGCGGCCGCGCCGGCGAGCCCGCCGGGCCCGCGCGGCGGCGGGGGCGCCGCGCCCGCCCGCGCGGCAGGGGCGGGGGCGCGAGAGCCTGGAGAGTGCCAGCTCGACGGATAGCCCTGCAGTCGAGGTTGACTGGAGAGGGCACGCGAGGGGACACAGGACCCTTCCTCGACGAGCGCGTTCCACCACTCGCAGGGCAGCTGCTCGCAAATGGCCTGGATCCGCCGAGAGGGGGGTTCGCGGTCCACTGCAGCGAGGCAGGCGCTTGCTTTTCGGACGTTTGCGAGTGGGCACTTCTTGCGGGCAGTGGAACGGGTTCGGTGACAGCTTGCAGGGGCTTGACAGATATCCCTGCAGCCGAGGTTGGAGAGGACACGCGAGAGGACACAAGACCCTCCTCCTCCTCCTCCTCCTCCTACCCTCCTCCTCCTACCCTCCTCCTCCTCCCCTCCCCTCCCATCCTCCTCCAACGACCGCACTGCCCGCCCCCCCCCCCCCCCCGCAGGCCCGAGGGACGACGGATCGTTGCCCCGCCCAGAACACGGCGCTGGATAGACAGCGCGCAGCATCGCCCCCCGGAGACCACGCTGCCTCTGTGAGTCCCGCGGGGGGGCCCCTCCTGCGCGCGCGGTCCACCAGCCGGGGCCTCTGCGGCGCGCGCCTGCCCGCCGAGGCTAAGGTCGGGCATGTCCCCCTACAGGCGGAGTTTGGACGAAAAGTGTAACACTGATTTGTTTCTGTTGTTTTTGAAATAAAAGACCCACAACTAATAGATAAATCGTCCCCAGAGTATGCCTTTGACTATTTTTGAACATTCCTCCTGTAGGGGAGCGTGCCCGACTTAACCCGAGGCGCGGGGGACAGATGGCACGTCGGATGCGGGCCGGCGGCGCCACATCGCAGGCCATCTCGCCAACGCCAGCCGTCAGAGGTCCGAAGATCTGCTGATGTCTTCGACTCCGTCGGGCGTCCCTCGATTGCAGCCCTCCAGGGGCCCGTCCTCAGAGGCCTCCTGGATGGGGTCGGAGCAGATGTGGCCGGACGATCGCGCTGCATCGCCGGTACATCGGCGATGCATCGGCGATGCATCGGCGATGCACTGGCGATGCATCGCCGACATGGGCGATGCATCGGCGACGTCGACGTGAAGCAAATCGGGCTCCACATCGAGCCGCATCGGCGATGCATCGGCGATGCATCGGCGATGCATCGCCGATGTGGCGCGATCCTCTGGCCCACTCTACTCCGACCCCATCTAGGAGTCCTAGAGTCATGGAGCCCAGGGGCCATGGCGGCCCTGATGCCATGACGAGCCATGACAACACAGGCCTGCTGAAAACTGACCAGACCCACCCTCCCAGTGAGACAAATTGTTTCTATCTTCCGTCTTTGACCTAACTCCGTACCGTGGCGTGCAACGGCGAGGCGCCGTGCCAGGTGGACGCCAGTAGGATACGCAGCCTTATCGCAAGGCCCTAGGACAATGCCTGTCCTCAGGCAGCGATCCCCCCTACAGACGATGGGTGGCCTCACGCCTTGCCCCGGCCAATCTCTGGCCAGAGCCCCAAACCTGGATGCCCGAGCATCTCGCCCCAGGCACCACCCACACCAGGTGAGGGCGGGCGGATCACGACTTGCGAACTGTTCTTAAGCTCTTGAACCAAAATGGGCAACGGAAAGGGTAATCTTCGGTCGGGCATGTCCCCCTACAGGCGGATTTTGTCCAACAACAAAAAGCCAAACAATTGCCAAAAAAAGTCAAACAATACTAAAAATCGTCCCCTGACTATTTTTTACTATTTTTGAATATCCCTCCTGTAGAGGGACAAGCCCGACTTAACACTACCGCCATCCCACCCGCCCACCTTGGCTGCCTGCTGTCACTACGATACTGCGGATCCTACAAGGGCAGAAGAGCTCCCCCTTCAGAGGTTGGCAAAGGTGCCCCTGGCCCCAGGTGCCCCCAGCCTTTCGCCCCATCTTGGAGCCCCCAGGGCCCCCCCTGGAGGCCGTTGGGGCCTCCTTGGAAAGCCTGGGGGCACTTTGGGCCAAGGGCACTTCTGGCAACACCAGATCTGAGCGGCTTGCATGTTCTTAAAAACCTGAGATCCGACGTCGCAAAAAATGCAACATCGTAACAAATCACGACCGGAACCCTAGTCACCATCTCTCTGCATGATTTGTTCGAGCCGGATCGATCTGCGAGGGCCCCAGGGCCCCAAAAAAGGCGAAAACGCCCGACTCGAAAAAATTGGGTCAGAGGATCGCGCCGCATCGCCGATGCATCGGCGATGCATCGTCGGCGATGCATCGGCGACGTCGGCGTGGGGAAGCACAGGCTCCGCATCGAGCCGCATCGCCGAAGCATCGGCGATGCGGCGCGATCCTCCGACCGCATTCTAGATTCTAAGAACCTTTTGTGGTCTGCACGAGATGTCCTTAGAACATCTCTGGCCGATATGGCCTTGTTTCAGCACATAGGGCTCATGTTCTAAGCACACTGTCTTTGTCTTTTGTCCAGCATGTTACAATCCAATATACTCCGATCCGACCCCATCTGGGAAGCCTAGAAAATCTGAGGACTGGGGGCGAACCACCGCCAGCGAGCACCGATCTCGCCGCCCGGGAGCCAACGGCGGCAGCCCGCGGCGGCAGCGGCGAGGGCTGCACCCACGGCACCACGGGCCGGGCGCGCCCGGGCGGCAGCGGCCGCCGGAAGCGGCGCGCGGCCGGGCGGTCTCGCGGCGTGGGCGGCAGCGAGAGCACCTCTTGGGACGCACAAAGACCTACGAGTACCATGTGTTCTCCTCGGAGGCGCGCGTCCGACCCGAACATGTAGCATACCCATCTTGCAGCAGATCGTTTCCCGAGCGGTGTGGCCAGAAAGCGCCCGCCACGGCGCATGCACTACACGACTTCTCGGTGCGTGCGTCGCCCCTGGGGGGGGGGGGGGCGACGCACACATAGTATTAGTATGTTGGAGTGCCGCCGGCCTCTGAGCATCGATGCGATGCGATGATGCGATGCGATGCGACCCACATTCCAGCCCCTATGGGGCGGTCCTCTAAGAGGGTAGGCGCCTGGGACACGCAGTCCCGGCAGTTGGGCGCAGTGGAAGATAATTCGCATGTATGGAAAATAGATGGAAGGACAGAGAGAGCTACAAACAGACAGGCAGGAAGAGGAGCGCATCACGACTGTGACGCAGCAAAAAGGCCGCTGGCCAGAAGTGCCCCTGGCCCAAGGTGCCCCCAGCCTTTCCAGGGAGGCCCCCACGGCCTCCCGAGCACCCCTCGCGAGGCCGAGGGTGCTCCCTGGGGCTCCGAGGCGTAGCGAAAAGCTGGGGGCACCTTGGGCCTGCTTACCACCACCACCACCATAAGTTGGAGGGGGAGAGGGTCCTCCTCCTCCTCCTCCTCCTCCTCCTCCTCCTCCTCCTCCTCCTCCTCTCCTCCTCCCACCTCCTCCTCCTCCTCCTCCTCCTCCTCCTCCTCCTCCTCCTCCTTCCCCCCTCAAACCTTGGGCCAGGGGCACCTTTGGCAACCCCCGACTCTGCGGCAGCTCACGAGAGCCTCCCATATGGCCGTGCTGGCTGTTGCGAGTCGACGCTGGTCGACGCCAGATCGACGCTCATCGGCGCGAAATCAACGCTCATTGACGCCTGTCGGCGCTATCCCATCGATTGCGAGACGCTAGTCGACACCAGTGCATCTCAGAAACGGAACTGCGAGGGTGTACAAGGCTCCCGTGACTTGCTACCGAATTTCAACGAGGCAACGTCGGGTTCGAGGTCAAGGTTTTCGGGCGTTTTCGTCGGCCCTCCGCGGCTTTCTAGCCTTAAGTCGGGCGTGTCCCCCTACAGGGGGATTTTCGATGAAATATATAAAATACTCCTAAAAGATTCCAACATGGTCAAAAAATACTCAAGAAATAGTCCCCTGAAAATCGTTTTGACTATGTTCGAATATTCCTCCTGTAGGGGGACAGGCCCGACTTAATTCTAGCCTCAGGGGTGCCTTCCAGCGGCCGCGCCTCGTCGAGGGCTTCCCCCGGGGGAGGGGCGGGGGCAGCGCCGGCCCGCTCGGCCACCCGGGGCCCGAGCCGTGGCCTGAAGGCCCCCAGGGACCCAACGCCCTGGAAAGCCAGGGCGAACCATTGTGCTTCCCCGTCGGGGGGCATTCCTTCTCCTCCAGTCCTCCTCCTCCAGTCCTCCTCCAGTCCTCCTCCTCACCCTCCTCCTCCTCCTCCTCCTCCACCTCCTCCTCCTCCTCCTCCTCCTCCTCCACTCTACCGCCCTCCTCCCCTCCTCCCACCTCCCTCCTCCCTCCTCCCTCCTCCCTCCTCCCTCCTCCCTCCTCCCTCCTCCCTCCTCCTCCCCCGCCGGGCCCCGAGGACCGCCCAAGCACGAGCCAGGACGAAGAGCTGGTCCCGGGGAAGAAGTCCAGACGTCCTGGGGGGGCCACGCTGTGGATTGGCGGCGATCCCGGGGGGGAAGCGAGAGGGGCGCGCCTTCTCAGAAGGCGGCGGGGCTTCCCAGAAGCGCGAGCCTCCCGAGTAGCCCTGTGGGCCTGCTCCGAAGCCACGGGCGGCTTCTCGGAAGGCGCGAGGGGGGCCCCCCGCCTTCTCAAGAGGCCTGTCCCTTCCCTGCACGGGACAGGGCAGGAGCCTGCGTGCCAGCTCCCGGAGGAGCGGTCCCCTGGAGGGCAGGCGGTTCAGATGTACAGCTGCAGCGAGTGCACGTTCACGGCGAATGGAAACACAGAAAACCACGGCCTTATCATTCACGAAAGGCGTCACCCGATCTCAAGCAGGGTCTTCCGACAGAGCTCTCGACGGGCCGCGCGAATCTCTTGGATCGGCGCTGGACCCACCTCCCCCGCGCGCGGAGCGCGCGAGGGGGCGGCGTCGGAGGCGCCGCGGGGGGCTCCAGCGCCGATCGGAGAAATCAACGCGGACCGTCAAAAGCTCACGTCGATGCCGTGTTCGCTGCTTCGCCTCTCACTTCCCCCCTGGGCTCGCCGCCGAATGACCTCCCCAAAAAAACACGTGATGTCTGCGAGGGCACACAGAGCTCGAGCTAAATGGTGCTCTCCGTGTTCGCTCTGTGTTGAAGTCTTCCGCCTCTGGGTGCTCGCCCTGCTCTCCCCCCCGCGGCCGCCTCTTCCTTTTCCCTCCTCCTCCTCCTCCTCCTCCTCCTCCTCCTCCTCCTCCTCCTCCTCCTCCTCCTCCTCCTCCCTTTCCTTTTCTCTCCTCCTCCTCCTCCTCCTCCTCCTCCTCCTCCTCCTCCTCCTCCTCCTCCTCCTCCTGCATGCCGGCCAATTCGCTTTGTAGTATCGCTGCCACGCTGGAGTGGACTGTCCCGCCTCGCCGCCGACGGAAAAAGTTCGTTCTGCGCTCGTTTTCCCTCGTCCCGCAGAACGAAATCAAAACGAAATCAACGCCTGCAGTGCCTGCGCTCGCCTCAACCAGGCCAGGCGATGCCTGCGACCTCTTATTGAGCGCGCCCACGGTGTCTGCACCGCGCCATGCACGGCGCCTGCGCTGGCCGCTGATGGAAACCAAGACCCACAATGCCTGCGTTCGTGCAGCGGCGCACAGGCGATGCTGGCTGGCACCGTGTTACAGTCGGGCCGCTGGCCTAAGGAACGCTACATAAGGAGCGAGGCCCCTGTTGTTCCAGAGAAGTCCATGAAGCCCGAAGGAACACCAGGGGGGCTCGCCGCCAGAAAAGGAGCGGAACGCATGCTGACCCAAGGAACAGGAGGAGGAGGAAGAGGAGGAGGAGAAAGAGGAGGAGGAGGAGGAGGAGGAGGAGGAGGAGGAGGAGGAGGAGGAGGAGGAGAAGGGGGAGAGGGAGGGGGAGGGAGGAGAGGAGGAGGAGAGAGGAGGAGGAGAGGAGAGGAGGAGAAGCAGGAGTTCCCGATTCCAGCGGCCCGACGGTGCTCCAACCATCCCGTGGTGCTGGGTCCCCGGTTTTGAATCCGCCAGCGCCGCGCGTGCACTCCTCCCCTTCCTTCCTTCCGCATCCCCCTCCTCTTGCCGCGCGCCCTCCTCGCCTAGAAACACCCCGGGGCGGCCAAGAGGGGGGCGTCCAAGAGGGGGGGGGGGCGCAAGTCATGCCGCGCACGTGCGCGGCCCAGGGAGGGAGGGGCCAGGAGGTGATGACACAACACGAAGAGCCGCCACGAAATCTGAGGATTAGCATGCCCCACGCCATGATGTCCCCCCCCCCCAGTCATCACCCCCTCTCTCTCTGCGCCCCCGTAGGAAGGCACCAACTATACCCCAACACCGATCCTGGCCAGGATCACCCTGGGCCCAGGATCGGTGTATACGCCCTCCTGCCTTGGGCAAGAAGGCATATACACCGATCATGGGCCCAGGGTGATCCTGGGCCAGGATCGGTGTTGGTGTATAGTTGGTGCCCTCCGACCCCGCACACCGTCTGGCCCGAGCCCTGGGAGGGCACCTCGTCGTCTGGCCCCGCCGCGCCGCGCGCGGGCGGGCGCAGGGGAAACCTCGGGGGGGGGGCTGGGGCGCCGCTGCGGCCTCCTGCCCTCCCACCCCTCCCGTCCCATCCCAGCCCGTCCCTCCCCCCAGGGGCCCTCCCTCCACCCCTCCCTCCCTCCCATCCCCCCCACCCACCCCTCCTTCCATCCCTGCCTCCCACCCCTCCTTCCTTCCCTCCCTCCCTGGATGGATGGTCGGAAGGAGGGTCCCGGGATCCCGGGACCCGCCTTCCAACCATCCGTGCACCCATCCGTTCTCTTCCTCCTGGAACGGCAGGATCTCCGCGTCTCCACGGCCCCAGGCCCGAGCCAATCCAGAGCCGAGGGGGGCGGTGCAGCATGCACCGTCCTGGGCCCAGGGTGTGTACAGTCATCGGTCTGACCTAAGGAACGATGAATAAGGAACGAAGCCCTTTTTTTACCCCAAGGAATAACGCATAAGGAACGATAAATAACAAATAACGCATAAGGAACTGTAAATAACGCATGCAAGCCTAAGGAACGCCCGAGCCCCTTTTGAAAAGTAAGTGTTCCTTATTCAAGCCGCTCACTGTATGCACCATCCTGGGCCCGGGGTGGGCCCAGGGATGCGACACCGCTCGTCGGCCCAGGGTGGGCCGAGGCCTAGGGCAGTGGACATGTAGAGATCCCGCCGCCCTGCCTCCGCCGTCATCCTGCTCGTCCTCCTCCTCCTCCTCCTCCTCCTCCTCCTCCTCCTCCTCCTCCTCCTCCCTCCCTCCCTCCCTCCCTCCCTCCCTCCCTCCGTGGAAGAAGGGCATGCTGGTGCTGTGCGCCCCCCCCCCTGGAGGCGCACGTCCCAGCCGACCACACAGCATCAGCGTCTTTTATATATATATATATATATATATATGTATTTATAAGAGAGAGAGAGAGAGAGAGAGAAGAGAGAAGAAAAAAAAAAAAAAAAAAAAAAAAACAAAAAGAGAGAGAGAGAGAGAGCACATCGGCACCCCAGCGGTATGGCCGGAAAGCGCCGTGCACGACGCACACGTAATCAATAGGAGCATGTTTGGGTGGCGCTGACCCCACTCCGGTCGGCGGAGTGACGCAGGGCAGCCTGGGCAGAGTGCAGGCGTCAGGCAAGGGTTGCAGCGAGTCCGACTCCGCGCAGCGGTGCCGACGGCTCGAGGGCAGTGGGGAGGGGGAGGAGGGGGGGGATAAAAGGAGGGGGAGGAGGAGGGAGAGGAGGAGGGGCGAGGGGAGGGGAGGAGGAGGGGAGGGGAGGAGGAGGGCAGTGGGGAGGGGAGGGGGGAGGGAGAGGAGGGGGGGAAAAGGAGGGGGAGGAGGCCTCTCCGGAAGGATGGGACCACCACAATGGCGGTAGCGATATCAGGCGCTCACATGCCCAGCACGCACACGGTAGGCTACAGGACGACGCCACAACTGACTGTCACGGATCCACGAAGGCACTAGAAGCTATGCCCCCAGGCAAGAACTTCGACGCGGGTCCAGCCGCGGCGAGGAGGGTACCTCGAAAGGCCCCGAAGGGCCCCGGAACTTGAAGAAAACCAGATTCTCGAACCCCGATCTTCGAACCTCTGTCGATGCCGACCGATCCTCGACCCTCGACACTCGAGGAAGACGAAGGCAAGATGAGAGCAAGTTCGGATGAGGGCAAGTCGGGAATCTCTGAAAGCCAACGGGCCTGGACGATGCATCGGGCGCCGCGGCCGTTCCAGAGCGGCCCGGAGCGCTCTGAGAGCGTTCCAGAATCCTGGAACGCAATTGCGACTGCGACCCGCATTCGGGCCGAAGCGCCCCCATCAGTACCTCACGTCAAGCCTACCTGAAGGCGACGCAACATCGCAACTCAGGAGTGAAGAAAAGAGATCCACAATCGATGGGCTGAGGGAACCGCATGATGGACCGACCCCGACCCCCCCCCCAGCGGTGATGGCCTGCGCGCGGCACTCGGTATCGGGCGCCGCGCGCAGGTCCTCCCCAGTGAAGCGTCGGGGTCGGCCTCCGGGAGGCGTCAAGGGCCGCGGTCACCTCAGCCCAACGGTTGCGGCTGTCGCTTCCTCGCCAACGAGCGACGGCATTTGATTTACGCTTTCGGCCTCTGGAGGCCGCTTCCTGGCCCCATGGCCGTCAGAGAACGACACTGCAGGATGGGAGGGATCGAGATCTCTGGGGGGGTCCACTTCACGAGAACACTGCGACGTCGCAGCAGGAGGCTCGAGGAAAAAGGATCTTGAGCGCCGTGTCCTCATCCTATAGCCTGATCGGTCCCCGATCGACGACGCACCCCCCCAAAAAGCACGCAGCCGAGAACAAGGACAGCCAATTACTACGACTGACCATCCTCCTCCTCCTCTTCCTCCTCCTCCTCCTCCTCCTCCTCCTCCTTCCTCCCTCCCCTCCTCCCTCCAACCTCCTCCGCCTCCCTTCCTCCTCTCTTCCCTCCTCCCCCTCCTCCTCCTCCTCCTCCGCCTCCCTCCATCCGCCGCGTCCTCCCTCCTCCCTCCTCCTCCTCCCTCCTTGTCCTCCGCCTCCTGCTCCTCCTCCCACCTCCTCCTCCTCCCTCCTCCCCTCCTCCGCCTCCTCATCACCATCATCACATCATCCTCAGCAATCCATCATCAAACATCATCATCTCATACATCATCATCATCATCACATCAGCATCATCATCATCATCATCAGCATCATCATCATCATTCATCATCCATCATCATAATCCATCATCACATCATCATCCATCATCATCATCAATCACATCATCATCATCACATCATCAGCATTCAGCATCAGCATCAATCAATCATCATCATCATCATCCCCACCTCCTCCTTCCCCTCGTCGTCGTCCGCGGCGTCATCATCATCATCATCATCATCATCATCACATCATCATCATCATCATCCCATCCATCATCATCAGCATACATCAACATCATCCATCACATAATCATCATCCATCATCCCAATCTCATCATTCATCAATCATCAACAATCAAGCCATCAAGCATCAAGCCATCAAGCCCTGATCAGCATCACATCAGCATCAGCATCACAAATCAGCATCATCCCATCCTCATCCCCACATCCATCATCAGCATCATAATCATCAGCAGCACATCACAGTCAGCATTCAATCATCAGCATCAACATCATCATCCCATCATCAAGCATCAACAGCATCATCATCAACCACATCCTCATCATCATCATCATCATCAGCAGCATCATCATCAGCATCATCCTCATCATCATCATCATCATCATCATCATCATCATCATCATCAACGTCATCATGATAATCAGCAACATCATCATCACCACCACCACGATCATCATCAGCAGCATCATCAGAATCACCATCATCACCATCATAATCATAATCAGCATCACCATCATCATCATCATCATCATCATCATCATCATCAGCATCATCATCATCAGCATCATCATCATCAGCATCATCATGATAATCAGCAACAACGTCATCACCACCACCACGATCATCATCAGCAGCAGCATCACCATCATAATCACCATCATCACCATCATAATCATAATCAGCATCACCATCATCATCATCATCATCACCATCATCACCAGCATCATCATCAGCAGCATCATCATCAGCATCATCATCATATGCATTCCCTCCCTCCCTCCCTGTTTCCCATATCGGCCCGGCGGCGCAGCAGTTGGCCCCGCACCCCGTCGCGGCGGGGACCGCCGGGGGCCAGCGGGAACGGGTCTGGTCAGCCTGGCCGCACACGATTCAAGTGCTGGACTTTCCCCGGATCGGTATTAGTCGAATGGAGAGCCACCTTCAAGAGTTCAAAGTTCGAACTGCCGGAGCCACACCCCAGCAACGACGAGGGACGAAGCGGAAGACGAACGACGCGACAACGGAGCGATGGACCCCCGCGGAGGCGGGGGGGAGAAGGGCGAGAGAGGCCACGGAGCCAGGAGGCACAGGCGAGCAGGGGGGGACGACGACGGGGGGGAGGGCAGCGCGGAGAGCAGCGAGGAGGAGAGGGAAGGGAGCAGCAGGTAGCGGAGGGGGGTGTGGCGTCAGAGAGATACCCTACCCCAAATCAATCCCACACTGCCTCGAATGAGGGCCGCCGACTCGCAGATCCAGGATCGAAGAACTACGAACCACGAGCTTTGCTAAAGCCGCCCCCAGTGGCAGCAGCACAAGCCCCGCCGTGCTCGGCGGCGCCCAGCCCTGGCTGGCTCGCGTGCCCTGCGAGGGCTCAGGCCCCCGCTAGGCCGCTCCCGACCCTGACGACACCTCCTGACTCTCCTCCTCCTCCTCCTCCTCCTCCTCCTCCTCCTCCTCCTCCTCACTCGCCTGCGAACGGGGGTCAGGCTTCTGGGTGTCAAAATCAGCGAACGACATAGGAAGCAAAAATCATATTCTAAGAAAATACTAGCCCGGCCAAGAAAAACAAACGAATGAATTACCAAGGAAAGGCAGCGAAAAGTGAGCGAATCCAACAAGGAACAAGTGAGCGACGAAAAGAAACGGGTCCTACGTGAGATTACACAGCGACCTTACGCTGTAACTTATGCGGGCCGCCAGCGCGGCACGCCACATTGAAAACAAGGGCGCTCACGCGCGACCTCACGCGGGCAGTTTACGCGCCAATAACGGCGCAGTCGGCCCTGTTTTCTTCAGGCGCTCATACACTCTACTCTTTGAGACGGCCGAAAAAATCGAAAATCCAAGAGACTGGGCTTACTGGCTCCTGCCCCCAGCAATTTTTAACCCGCAGCGAAATCGCCTGAAGGTTCGATCGCTTAGCCAGTATCGAGAGGCAAGATGACTATCATCCCGAACGCAGGCGACGAACAAAGCAAGAGAACCCGCCAGGCGGGTTCAAGGAAGAAAAAGGAGGAGGAGGAGGAGGAGGAGGAGGGGGAAAGGAGAACGGACAGTAGCGCCGTGTGATGACGGTGATATGTTCAACTGCACCGGTGAAAATTCGACTTGAAGAGCAACAAGGAGCTGCAGGCTGCCCGGGACTCGCCTACCACAGGCTTGTGAGGTCGCTGGCTTAGCCTCCTTGGGCCAGCAACTAGCTGCGGAAGAGACGTCGTGTTGCAACAACACGTGAAGCCTTTGGCGGCTCCAAGACAGTATAGAGACATTGCATCCAACTCCCAGCCCCAACGTGCAGCAATCCCGATATGGTCCCAACGATCACTTGCTCCTGCCCCTAAAAAAGACGCTGACCCACCCATAGCAGGCGAAAGACCCCCTCCCGCACGACGCCGCCCCAAGGGAACCACGCCCGGGCGGCCGCGTGCGCCGGGAAGTCTGGCGCGGGCGCGCGAACCCGCCCACGCGCGGCGCCCCTCGCTCCACCTCCTCACTCTTCGCAGCTCGCTCCTCGCTCTTCCTCCTCCTCCTCCTCCTCCTCCTCCTCCTCCTCCTCCTCCTCCTCTTCCTCCTCCTCCTCTTCCCCCTGTAACCCCCTCCTCCCTCCCTCCTTCTCCTCCTCCTCCTCCTCCTCATCCTCCTCAGTCATCGCTTATCACTCCTCGCTCCCCCCTCGACCCGCCCAGCGGAGAATGGCCCGCAGATAGATGGCCTCCTCACCGCTAGCTCTGGAACGGTTCGGGTGCTACTCTGGATCACTCAATAATCGAACCGCCCCCCTAAAAAACGAACCACACATTCCTTCGCGGCACAAGCTTCCGAACCCCCCCTCCGCGCGTGGCGCCCTAATCTTCTGGCCCCACCCCCGCAACATTGCGAGCACGATCGCTCATGACGGTGACGATAAGTAGACGCCATTGCGATCGTGGAGGTTGGACCACACTGTTGAGTGACGTGATGGACGCAAGGGCTATCCATGCCCCCCTGCAGGAGTATTTGCGAGGCGCATGGAAACCCAGGAGCAATAAAGGCCCGACCCCAACACCGCCGCATCAGATCGCCACCGATACTGTGTTTGACAACTACTTAAGCAGTAGGGATCAGGCAGGCGGCGTTGGTGTTCTTATGGCAAAATCATACACGCTGCCCGAGCTCTTTCTGGACTGGTGTTGAACGGCCCTGAAGGGCAGTATTGTTTAAGTTCTCAATGACAGGTCCAGAAAGGCTTCGTGACACATTCGAGCCCGTACGCGTGTATTTCAGCAGTCACAGCATAAAGACAAGAGAGGTTTCGTGACAAGTTCGTACCCGCACGCGTGTGTAGCATTGCAGTCAAAGCTTACTGGCAAAAGAGGTGTTGTGCCAATTTCATGCCCGTCCCTGCCCCTCTCTTTACAGAGGATGTGCAAAGGGTAAGCCCGAGCGACAGCATTCGGCATCGCACGAAATTGCGACAACAAAAGTGGCTATTTCTCTGCGACCTTCTGGCCGACATCAATTGGTGCGTTCAGGCCCATCCGCTTTCGCATGCCTGGTGAGCGCTGGCCCATCCGCAATCGCATGCTGCACGATCGCCTTGGTTCTAGTTTGTTGCGCCTCCTCCTGGGGCGGACAATTCGTGCCCCCCCCCCCCCGGGAATCCTGTGCACCTCCTCCTCATCCTCCTCCTCCTCCTCCTTCTCCTCCTCCTCCTCCTCCTCCCCCTGCGTTGTGGAAGCAGTCAGGAGGGGATAAGGAGGTTGGGATTATTAGGTGCGCTCACTTGAGAACCCACCGACATGCATGATGAAACCCAAAAATTGACGGCCATGATTGAACGCAAGGGAAAGTGCATTCATTGCGCAGCCAGTGACGGATGCAGCTGTGATCGCATTTATGATGACGGCGAAGGTGAAGCTGCTGGTAATAACGGTGATGGGGCACACGTGCTGTTAAGTGCGCATACAGAGCATGACGTCGACGGAGACGCTAGGGACGACGCTTGCGATGATGGTGTAGATGATGATAGTGGCAGGCAACGACGATGATGATGATGATGATGATGATGATGATGATGATGATGATGATGATGATGATGATGATGATGATGATCATGGCGGTGATGATGATGATCATGATGAAGATGATGATGGTGGTCATGGTGATAAATTTGGTGTGAAATTGCATGCGCAAGAAGCACCATAATAAACGGGACCCCCTGAACGTCGGCTTCAAGACAACGCCTTCATAAACCAGACCCCCTGCCTCCCCAAAGGCGCCTTAAAAACTAGACCCGGGGGACGATTATCAAGTACACCATTAACATGCAGGCAGAGAAGATGAGAGGCCGAGACGCGGGAGGCGCGTAGGACGGCCACCAAAAAATCAACCGCAGGGCCCGTCGGGGCGCCCATCAGAGAGCAGCTCATCGGGAGTCACACCACGGGAGCAGGCCCGCTCGCGGGCCTGTGAACCAAGGATCCGCGCCCTCTCCGCCGTGAGCCCGAAGAGGAATGGCATCCTGCTCTGCCCCGTCTTCCTCCTCCTCCTCTTCCTCCTCCTCGTCCTCCTCCTCCTCCTCCTCCTCCTTGTCCTCATCCTCCTCCTCCTCCTCCTCCTCCTCCTCCTCCTCCTCCTCCTCCTCCTCCTCCTCCTCCTCCATAAAGCACAGCACATAGAACCAACTAACAACCAACACCCTTCTCCATCATCATCACAACCATCACCATCATCATCATCATCATCATCATCATCATCATCGTCATCATCATCATCATCATCATCATCATCATCATCATCATCATCATCATCATCATCATCAGCATCATAATCATCATCATCATCATCATCAGCATCATAATCATCATAAACATCATCATCAGCATCAGCATCATGATCAACATCATCATCAGCATCATCAATCATCATCACAATCATCAACAACATCAGCCAGCATCAAACAGCGCAGCTCATCAGCACATCACATCAGCAAACACAACAGCAGTAATCATCATCCACAGCATCAGCAGCAGCATCAACCAGCAACTTCAACAGCAGCAGCAATCGGCAGCATCCTCACCCCTTCATCAATCAGCGCTTGTTGCATCATCCACATCACACATCATCAGCGCACATCCCACAGCATCAGCATCAGCAACAGCATCGGCAGCATCATCGACATCATCATCCTCATCAGCATCCTCATCATCATCGGCATCATCATCATCATCATCAGCATCATCAAGCAGCAGCATCAGCATCCGCATCGTCATCATCATCATCATAAGCATCAGCATCATCAGCATCATCATCAGCATCATCATCAACAGCATCATCATTAACACCAGACTCATCATCAGTAGCGGCAGCATCCGCATCATTAACATCAGCATCATCATCGTCGTCGTCGGTGTTACCATCATCATCATCACCAGCATCATCATAATCGTCAGAGTCATCAGCGTCATCGTCGACCGAATCACAATCATCAGCATCACCATCGTCATCAGCAACAGCAGCATCGTCACCATCATCATCGTCGTCGCTGCTACCATCATCCTCACCATCCTCATCAACATCAGCAGCAGCATCAGCATCTACATCATCATCAGCATCATCATCATCATCATCATCATCATCATCATCATCATCATCATCATCATCATAATCAGTATCAGCATCGTCGGCATGATCGTCAGCAACATCAGCATCAGCATCAACATCATCATCAGCAGCATCGTCGTCGCGGTCACAACATCATCACAGCAATCGTCATCGCCACCATATCTTCATCATTACCATTGCAAGTATCATCAACAACATCAGCATCATAATCATCATCAACAGCAACACAAGCATCGTCACCATCCTCAGCATCAGCATAATCATCAGCAGCAGCATCATCTTTCGTGTATATCAGCACCGTCGTCATCATCATCATCATCATCATCATCATCATCATCATCATCACCATCGTCATCACCACCATCATCATCCGCACAAGCATCGCAATCGTCATCGCCAACATCATCACCATCGTCACCATCATCAACAACATCGGCATCATCAGCAGCATCGTCATCACCATCACCACCATCACCACCAGAATCAGCATCATCATCACAATCATCACCAGCATCATCACCATCATCAGCATCGTCATTGTCATCGACATCATCATCAGCATCATGGTCATCATCGTCATCCTCGTCATAATCCTCCTCACCATCATGTGCTTCTTCTTGTCGCGCTGCGAATGGGCCATGGACCGCGCTCATTCTCGCTAGTATCGAGTGAAGCTCGGCACAGGCTGTTTGCAAACGTCACTCCATCACCAGGCACCAGCACGCCATCAAGCTTGACTGCTGGAAGATGAAGTTGAGGGTCAGCGCACTCGCCGCGCGAACGCTTTCCTCCGTGTCGAAGGCAGCCCAGGGACACTGCGGGGCCGAATTGGGCAGAATAGGAGCGGGAGGAGAGCGGGCGTTGGGGAGGGGGACGGAGCACGCTCAGAGCATGAGGTCCTTGAACGTGTGTGCCAGAGCACGAGCGTGCACAGGAGACGTGGAAGAAGTCCGAGGATGTGAGCAGCGCTCGAATCCAGGCGCCACGACCTCAACCAGCCCGCCATACGGACACGGGATCGACGTGTGCCTTGCGCAGTGTGCTGCGACCTCGAATCGGTCGATTGGAGCTTTGTAGTCTATGCCGGATGCTTCTACAGTGCATTGCAGGAGGGCCGAGGGATGTCTTGGCCTCAGCATCGGACCTCTCCCTTCCAGTCTCGCTTTCCCAGCCGCTGTCTCCTCCTGTTCCTCCTCCTCCTCCTCCTCCTCGTCCTCCTCCTCCTCCTCCTCCCCCTCCTCCCCCTCGAAGTTATGGTGGTGGTGGTGGAAAACGGCGCGGCGGCAGTGGTGCGAGAGCCGCGGGCTCCCCCTGCGGGGCCACCGGGCTGCACGGCTGAGGCTCGTCTGGCACCCTGCGCGAATCAGCTCCAGCTTCCAGGTGGTGAGCGTCTTCGTATTCGGCGCTTCGACGTCGGGCAGAAGGCGGGGGGGAGGGGGGGGGGTCTGGCTCCTGACCTCTGCTTCGTGCGGCTGTTTGCAACCGTGCGTCCTGTGGGGAAGGCTCCACCTGCTCGAAACATGCTCCAAAAACAGCCAAGGTCTACTCCTTGGGGGGGGGGGAGGAGGGGGGGGCGAGGGCCCGCGCCGATTGGCCAAACAATTAACAAGAAAACGATCACTTTCCAATGTTATGGTGCTACTTTCTGTTCCCTGCGATTTGTAATTTGCTCCAGTTGCCAATATTATGATGTTTGTTGCGGTCCGCGCGAGGGGTGGAGGCCGAAAACCGCCCTGTTACCACGGCCACCTGAGGTTCTCAGAATCCCCCGCGGGGGGCGCCAGGACTTGCAAAAATACACCACGTTCGCGCAGACTCGACCAGACTCGCATCCCCGACAGCAGAAGCCCCCGTAACTTACACCGGGCTCGCGCTCCAGAGACCACCCGCGAATTATACCAGGTTCGGGCTCCCGAGGCCAGAGTCCCTCGCAAAATATAAAACACTCGCGCTCCCGAGGCCAGAATTCGATACTACTTACGCCAGGCTCACGCCTCCGAGGCCAATCCCAAGTAAATCCCACCAGCACGCTGAGCGTAGGTGGTCTAGGGAGACCCCCCCTCCAACCCCATCCTTCCCCTTCGGGGAGGGGTTTACCACTGTTCCCTATGAGTATACACCCCCTCCCCCAGGCGACCGGCGGCCAACCAGGAAGCATGTGGCCCCCCCCCCCCACCATCCCTGTCAAAAAACAATACAAAACGCACTCTGCCTCCACATTTGGAGCATGCGCGGCCAACCCGATGCAGCCCCCCCACCATCCCCGTGCGAAAACGATGTAAAAATACATGTTGGGGCAAAATATTGAGTCATGTTCGTGAGGCCCGCGAGCACTTCGTATTGTTTTCGACAAGGACGGCGAGGGTGTCAGCATATTCCCTGCTGTGCGCAGGGCTGCCATCCCTAACAAAACAACTACAAACTGCACCTCACGGCTAATTCTGGATCATACGCGGCCACCCCCGCGATCACTGTCAAGTGGTTTTTGACAGAAACGGCGGGGGTGGTGGCGAATGGCCTGCTGTACGCAGGCCCAGCAGACAGAATGATGGGCATCGGTTTTCGACAAGGATGCTGGGGGGCAACATGTTTCCCGATGTGTGGTGTCACGTGCGCAGGCGCACCTGACGCACTCTACACGTGCCCCGAACGCGGCGCACCTGGCGCGGCTGGAGTGTGCGGCACACCTGGGGCACTCGGAGCACGTGGCGCATCTGGCGCACCAGGCGTGCCTGGCACGCTCGGGCCCCAGGGGTGCCTGGCACGCGTGGCGCGCCTGGCACGCGTGGCTCACCTCGCCCCAGCGTCGCGCACACTTGGTCGGTTTGGGTTCCAAGTAGCTGTCCATCCAAAAACGACCGCTGAACATGCTGAGGCTCGGGTGTTATTCATGTGCAGGGAGGGCGGGTGGGAGTGAGCTAGACGGCTTGCGGGCGGGTGGGTGTCTTGACCCCTCCGCGAGGGGGGGGCCGCGAGGCGTTGGAGCGTCCAAGATGGCCCAAGACGGCTCCAAGAGGGCTCCTGAGTCCACGATGAGCTCCAAGATGGCTCAAGATAACGCACGATCACTCAAGATGGCTCCCAAAATGCTCCAAGAGGCCACAAAAGAACCTTCCAAGACTGCTCCAAGATACGTCCGGGACGGCCTCTCAAGAAGCCAAAATCCTTCAAAGCCTGAGGAAAATCAATGATGTGTGCTTTCTCGCCTGTTCGCTTCCGATGGCCATCCGAGGCCTCAAGATGGCTCCAAGATGGCCCAAGAGAGCCCCAGAAGAGGCCCAAGAAAGCCCCAAGGCTCCAAGAGGGGTCCAGGAGGCGATGTTCGGTGCTCCCGCGGGAGAGTAATTGGAGCTCCCCGATGTTCTAATCGATGTCCTCCAGGCCCCAAGAGCGCCCCTGAAGCTCCCAAGAGCGGCCCAAGAGGGCCCCAAGAGGCGCCCAGACGGCCCCAAGAGGTCTCCAATAGGCCCCCAAGAGACCTCATACGAGGCCTCAAGAGCATCCCCGAGGTACCGAACTCTCCCTCCTTCTCCTCCTTCTCCTCCTTCTCGTCCTCCTCGTCCTTGCCCTACTCCACCTCCTCATCCTCCTCATCTTCCTCCTCCTCCTCCTCCTCCTCCTCCTCCTCCTCCTCCTCCGACGACGACGACGACGACGACGACGACGACGTCGACGTCGACGACGACTCCATACTCCCCCTCTTTGGGTACATGACGGCTCCCCCCGCCCTTGTTCTTCTGCATGCTCCCCCATTTCCCTGATCAACCTCAACTCCCCTGGGCATCGTTTCAGGATGGGCTGGTGGGGATACGCGAAGCGTCCACAATGAAACAAGACTCGCGTTCCCAAGGTCTGCTGAACACGCCAGACTCACGCTCCCGAGGGCAGACCCCGTCGTAAAATGCACCAGGCTCGCGCTCCCGAAGCTGGACTCCCACATACATGACACCAGAGTCGCGCTCTGGCACGCAGAAGGATTCCAAGGATGGTCAACAAATCGTCCCCAGACTTCTTTCAATTTTGTCTTATTCCCCCCTTAGAGGGACAGGCCCGACTTAACCCTACGATGACCTGCGGTCGGGCTGCGGACATGAACAGCTATACGTGAAGAACGATACGCAGAAGGCATCTATACACCACGACAGTGCCAAGCCAGGGCCCTGGCATGGCGTAGACGCCCCCCTGGCCGAGGCCAGGAGGGTCTATACACCATCCTAGGGCCCAGGGTGGCCATGGCCCGGCACGGTGGTGGTGTATAGACGCCTTCGTCGGATCCGGAAGCCAGAATCCTCGGTCCTCGCCCGACGCTCCTCCCGCCGAAGTGCGGGGGGCAAAGCCGAAGGGGCAGCGACACGCCGCCGCGGCCGGCCTGCGCCCCAGCGGCGAGAGGGGCGCTCCACCTCTGCCGGACGGGGCAGCGAGCACAACCATCTTTCTCCACATCATTCTCTCCTCCTCGCTCCTCCATTCCCCCTCCTCCTCCTCCTCCTCCTCCTCCTCCTCCTCCTCATCCTCCTTC